TCACCAAATTTTTTGAGTAGGCCACTGGATCCCGTGAATTTATTGGTTTATTTTAATTTAGTTAGGTTGCTCGTCTGACAATATCAACATTGAAACTTTGAATTTATATTAAACTTTTTATCTTACATGCGACGAGATTTTATTTTTTTTCTTGTTAAAGACTCGACGTGTGCACAATTTTCATTCATAAAGAACCGCTAAGTAATAATATGAAGGAGTCAAAGATGACTCATCAAGTACCTAGAGTTTGATTGGAAATGTCTTTAGCGTTCGTACCAATATTCTGGTGGTGAACTATATGATCGTAACTTAAATACTTTTTAACTTTAAAACGAGAACAACTTAAATTCAAAATGACATAAAAATATGAGCTTTCTAGGTTGCCACTAGTAACTTGTTTTATGTGTCCTACCATCATATTTTGCTATTTCTTCGCCTACTTATTGTTCCCTTCTTTTCTCACTATAAACACAGACCAATCTAGACTTGACCTTGCTAGTGGTCGTGCCACTAAAGAAAATGAAGCAATTAAAAACTCATGACATGCACATTTATTATTATATATTTTAATTGCTAGTGATCGGCCAAACTCATTTTTCTTGTAGATATAATCTTCTTAATTAGTATTATCTAATCTAAAAAGTAAATTCCACTACAACAAAAGTAGATTTTTACAGCATTAGTTTACGGCGTGCATTTTGGAAACGCCATAAAAAATCTGTTTTTACGACGTGCCTAAAATACATGCCGTAATAAATCGATTATTTAAAGTATTTACGGTGTGCATTTGTGGCACGCCGTAGAGAATTCTCTTCAACAAAGTTTTTTTTTTTTTTTTTAAATTGTCATTTTGTCGAAATCTATTTTTAATCACACATTTCATTGGACCTATAACTTTTATCTATTTTTAACCACACATTTTATAAAACACGCCAACTTTCAATACCAAAAAACTTTGGACTAACTTCTACATTATATTATGGAAAATCATAGATTAGAATTGAAACTTTTCAACGGAAAGACTAAAATCTCTCGACCCTCCAATTTTAAAACATCGTGTATAAAATATTCTCACTCTTTGATACTATCTCATCATAAAGTTGCCATATCTTCTTATTTTTCCCTACTTCGATTAGATATTCTTGAACATATTTTATCTTCGTGCCTATAATCGTATTAAAACTTTGAATAATGCAGTTGCCACGATTGACACCATTTATTTATTAATAAATTGAACTAGTATAATCTTTTTTGCTTTCCGTTTATTTCAAATCGTAAGAGAAGATAAAACGAAAATCTAATCAAGACTAAGTTTACCTAGTTTTATTCACCGAGTCCAAGTTTCATTGGACATCAAATTTGGGCAAATAAAGTTTGTATGCTTACCTATATTAGTCCACTCCTGTCTCCGTTGAACCCAAAAGTAGTACAAAACGTGTGGAAAGTAAAGATAAAGTGCTCTATGATGTTATAAAATAAAATATACAGCATCACTTTTGCAATTTTTATTTTTTTATTTTTTTTAGGGCTATATTCAAACTTTTGTAATTTTTTTATTAATTAAATCAGTACTTTAACACTTAATTAATTTATGAAGATATTGAATGTGAAGTGTGAAGTTTATTTTTTTAATTTCAAACGTTCATTTTACTCATTTAATTCTTAATGAACAAAAGTTAAAAAAGCATTAGCTTACTAAAAATATATTTTACTTGTGATTATAATCAATGAATTGAAAAACTAAGTGGTTGTTCTCTTTGTGTTTTAGTTTTGTGTTTTGAGTGTTCATTTTGAGATTTTTGAAAATATGTTCTTTTGACATTTTGAAAATACTCAAAACGCGTTTTGAAAATTTTGATTTGATTGTAACTGAAAAAATCCAAAACGACAAATTTGATATTGAAAATGTGTTCTTTTTTGCATTTTGAAAAATTGTTTTGAAAACTCTCAAAACGTATTTTGAAAATTTTGACTTGATTATAACTGAAAACACTCAAAACGACAAATTTGTCGTTTTGAGTTTTCTTTATAAATTTTTAATTTATTTTTCAAAAACTCGTTTTCGAAAATAGGAAAGAGAACACGTTTTCGTTGTTTTGAAAAATCGAAAATAGAAAATGGCTTGAAAATGGTAAAGAGAACAGGCTATAAGATGCTAATATATTAATTGCATCTTCAATTATCTTGCTAAATGGACATAAGTTCAAGTATTTAAACGTTGAACAATCACTAATAATATTGCCAACAATCGATATAACTTCTTCACAATTTGTTAAAAGCGATGAATAATACTATTATAATTTCTTGTCGTAATACGAGAATTTAACTCGAGAAAAATCGTAAGTGCATGTATGAGAACTAATCAAGCTTGAATTTCAAGTAAAATATCAAAACCAATCTTATTTTAACAAAATTATTAATTTATAGAATGAGCGTGAATATACAAAAATTTCGAAACTCAATTATTTTTTTCTTTTAATCGAACTTATTAATTTTCCTCCTTGACCTAAGTCGAGACTAGTAAAATTATCCAGCATTATTCAATATTTGTGTTATATCATATTTCATTAATTACGTAAATGAGGCTCTATTTTGGCCCTATAAAAGGGTTACCTTGTCTGAAATTCATCCAAGTTCACAAACAACTGAAAATTCCCTCTCGATTCATAAATTCAAAACCACCCCAAAGAACTGTTTTTTGTGCAGAAAGTGATAGTTAATTGTATGCAATAAAATGGGCATAAGTTCTAATAGAGTAGAAAACTTTTCAGGCCCTGCATGTCTTCAACCCACCACTGAAACCGCCGTCACAATTCCGTTAGATAGGGCAATGCCGTCGTTGCAAGTGCACAAAGTGGCCTTACCACAGCCAAGAACCACCGTGCAGAAACTTCGGCACCGCCTTTCTGAAATATTCTTCCCTGATGACCCACTTCACAGATTTAAGAACCAAACATGGTACAGAAAGTTGGTGTTGGGGCTTCAGTTTTTCTTCCCTATTTTCCAGTGGGCACCAAATTATAGTTTTAAACTGCTCAAGTCTGATGTCATTTCCGGGTTAACAATTGCAAGCCTTGCAATTCCACAGGTACGATATCAATCCCGACAGGATTTTATTTTGTTCTTCTTCCTTAAACTGTAGCGACTGTTTTGATCAGTCAGATGTTTAGTTCCATATCATCAATGTACAAGTAGCATTACTCAAATAATTATACTATCCTGTCCTATCGAATAAATGTTTGACAGTCATTTTCCCGATAAATTATGATGCCAATGTCGCGGATAATTTGTCATCCACGAACTTAAGTTCAACTTTTGAGTCTCTAAAACTCTCA